GCGGGTCGGGAAGGGACGACACTGCTGGGGATGTCGTGGCTTCCGCAGGGAGAGGGGGCGCCAGGGGCTCCTGGGACCCCCCACCCCGCCTGAGGGCGCTGGCGCTGGACCGCGCCTGCCCGCAGGCCTCCCTGCGCCGGGCCCCGGCTGCCGACGCGCTAATGGGGGCCCGGGCGCCAGCGGCTTCAGGCCAGCCCGGGACGCTGGGGAGGGGAGGCCGAGTCTCCGCCCGCGGGCCTGCCCCGGCCTGCGCCCCCGGAGCTGCCGGAGGCCCGCGGCCACCTGTGGGGTCCCAAGTGGGCGTCCTGGAAGATCGAGTGACCCCTCCCTAAATGGAAGCACTCGGGTCTGGCGCTGCCGCCTCCCCCACCCCCGCCCCGCCCCCGCGGGCGCGGGCTGCTCCCTGCGCCCCGGCCGGCGGCGCGCGGGCCAGTCCTTCCTCCGCCCTCCCCGGGGCTGCGGCGGGGTCCTGCGCCCCTCCTCAGGCCGCGGCTCAGAAGCCAGATGTTGTGCGGAGTTGCCGCTGGAGGGAGGGCGCTCTTCAGGCTTCCCAGTCTGTGATGTGGAGACGGAGGACCCGGCGTTTTCAGACTTGCGACTGAACCTCCTCCAGAGGAAAGGGGTCCGAGGTGGAGCCCCAAATGGTTCAGCAAAAATGAGGTGCTGGTCCCAGCCTGGAACCCTTGAACCCCATCCCCCATGGCAGTGGGCAGCGTTGGTCTGTGGGGCTAGGTGAGGAACTGCACGCCGTCCAGGGGTCCTGCATACAGCAGGTGCCCAATCAGTGTGCAGGGTCATGGCTGGCATACATCCTCTCCCTGGCCTCCAGGGTGGGGTGGCTACCCAAGCCCCTCACTCCCACAGGTGGGCTCTGGGAGGTGGTGGGTGGGTGTGCACTGGGCAGCTAGCGGCAAAGCAGAAACAGCCACATCTAGGGCCCAGGTCACTACCGTGCCCCCTGGGGCGGGCCGCTGGCCACTGGGTTCAGGTCCCCACCTCAGCCAGAGGCCGGGACGGACATGAAGTCCAGCCAGGCCAGCCTTGCTGGCCGGCCACCCCTACTCTTCCCACTGGGCGTGTTTTGCAAGCAGGCAACTTCCCTCCAGGGGCCCACCCGTGACCTGCCACACCCTCGGTGGGTGGGAGCCGCCCTGCTGCCGGCAAGACGACACTGGTGGCCGCCAACAAAGGCCTGCCACCCTGCCACTGCCCCCGGGAGCCCAG